CTAATTTCAATGAGTTGCTCATTGGCTAAACTGGCATATATTCCGAGGGTACTTTAATCCTGAGCTGCACTCTTAACGCTGTCATTCAGTCGTCCATTACCATATGATGTTTGACATCAAATCCCAGGAGTACCACGTGTTTGTTTTGAGCAGTACGGGCGACGATGACTGTTTATTGTGTGTGAGGCATGCAAACACTGCCTATGAATGACATGTCGGCTTTGAAAACAAAGTATGGCATGTACTGTATGTTTATAAACCTCTGAATATCAGACAGACATATGCCATATACCATTAAATATACACCATGATGTATACCATTGCCTGAATGTTTCTAGCTGCCATTGTAAATTCGCATTATTTTTGAGCCGATAATTCTATTCATTTTCACATGCCACTCATTAGCTTCACAGGATGGCCTGTTCACATGACAATCTTTATGATTCATTACAGCTGTCATGATATGTTTTGTGACTGCCAATTAGAGCTTATTCTAAGTGTTTGACGACGAGCGGTCGCTTCTGGTTTTCATGAATGAGCCATGACCTTGCACAGTTTGTCTTTCATTTTATTCTCCTTTGTAGAACCAAGCTGAGGCTCACTACAAAGGCAGCAAGCACTGCAAGAAGCTTAAAGCTCTGGAGGCCCTGAAGGCCAGACAGAGCACAGGTGCTACCTCTGACCTTGGCAGCCCATCCACCTCCACATCTCCCTCCTCGTCCAGTTTCACCCTGGCATCCACCACCCTTTCAAACAGCTCTGAGCACAAAGGTTGGTGGAACCCAACCATCTCTGAACATGTACATTGCCTAGTCAGATATACACATCTAATGACATCCAACTTTGTGCAATGCAGAGTTTTTTGTTGAAAATGTTCATTACCATCATCAGCCAGTCATGATGTGTCCAGTGCTGGATGAAGGCTTCCCCAAATAGTTACCATCCTTCATGGTCCTACGATGCCACGATCCATATCATATCTGTCCATGAGCTTATCTCATCCCAATCTACATGGGTGCTGTCCTCGAAGGCATGTGTACACCTTTGGCTGCCATTCCATAGCCAGTCTGGATCATCGGCCATCGTCTCTTTTTTGATGTGTCCCATCCAAGCCCATTTACTTCCATTGGCAGTTATTATAACAGCGAATGAAAATTAACTCCAGGAAATAATTGATAAACTTAACAAAGACGAAGTCATGTACAACAAGTAAATAAAAAAAACGTTGGCGGGATGTTACTGTAAAACAGCAGGTGCGTGAACCTAGAGCAATTATTGAAGGCAGAATAGAATGAAACAAAAAGGCAAGCAAAAGCAGGTTGGAGTGCGTTTAGAATATTGAGCATAATGCAGTCATGAAAAGCAACATACCAGTGTGCCTTAAGGAGAAGTTTTCAGTCAGTGCATCTTACCTGGCGATGAAATAAAAACGCTGACACAATAAAAACGGAGAGAAAAAACTGTCTGAAAAGTGTGCAATGAACTTGGGGAGTTGCAAGATAGAGAAAGAAACACGTGGATCAGACAAACGTAAAAGAGAGACATCGTATTCACTGTGAAAAAAAGTAAGTTTCTCAGATACGTGGGTCACTAAATAAGCGAGTATTTTTTTGTTACAAGGATAAAGAGGTGCTCTGGTGAAACGCAAGACTTGCAATAAAAAGATGGAGTTAACATCCGGTCAACACAGCACAGTATTTGATAAGGTAGATACAATTAGTACCACTTTGCTTTAAATCAGCAGTACCCAGCCTATGTAGACACCAGCTGAGTCCATAGTAAATGTGCAATTTCTCCCACTGTTCCAGGGCGACTAATGAAGGAGAGATGCCACCACTGTGCTTGCTTGGAAATGTTTTGCAGTGAATTAAATATAGACAGGACTTATATTTCGTAGGCAAAGGTTGTGTTTAATGCAGTGTCAATAACTGAAGGAAATCGCTCCACAGTAAGCGTCTGTAGATGCACAATAAAGGAGGGATTCCGTTGAAGTGTCTGTAGGTTCGGGCGTGTGAATCCATTGCGTGCGGTGCTCTCTCTCCTCTGTCCGCACGCGTCCTTCAGGATGTCACAGTGAATGCACGAGTTCCACTACCCCAGAGTGCGAAGGAGCACAGCAGGGGGGGCGTGAGCGCAGCCCCGTCCCCCAGCAGCGAAACAGCGCCGTGGACGCCGCCGCGCACGAGGGAGCAGCTGGCGCCGCCGCATGCCTCGGTGCTGCTCCCGCTTCAGCCATCATCGAGTCGGACGAGGAGAAGGCCAAGCGCCTGCTGTACTGCGGCATCTGCAAGGTGGCCGTCAACTCGCAGTCTCAACTGGACGCTCACAACAATGGTGAGGCCTCCATGCACGTACCTTAGCTTTCCTTACACCAAGGCCGTAGCCATGGAGTCAACATTGGGGAGGACCAAATCTTCCAGGGTGTCTGGGGGTCCCAACCCAGAAAAAAAATCTAAATCTGAAAACTAATATCCTACCTAAAATATTAAAGAATTCACTAACACATGGGATGCACTTTTTATTTATTTTTTACAATAATGTCTAATAGTGTATTTTATTACATTGCTCTGTTTTTACTTTTTTACCATTTTTTTTTCATTGTGTTGAGTAGTTCCGACGGACGTACTCGGAGACGGAGGTGAGTTAGGGGCTTCCGCCAGGGTTTATTAACACGTATCACTATCCCTGGTTACCTCTTCACCCCTTCTACTATCCCCGTTCCTCCAGTGACCCCGCTTACGTCACGGGGTCTCTCTTAAATACCCTCTGAGGCGTGACGTCACGTGCACTGCCCAGCGCGTGCGACCCCACGTCCCGTGATGTCACCGCACCGGACAGCGCACACAACGTCACCACTCTCCTCTACTCCTCTACATCACCCCCCCCCCCCCCCCGTGAAAACAAACAGCCGACCCGGCAGCAATCACCCCGCAAGTGGGGCCCCACACGGACCGAAGACCGAAAAATCACGAGTTCGTGTGCCTGAAGGTAAAACCGGCTGCTAGAAAACTCAACCTTAGGGCAGCACGGCCCTTCAAGCAGAACAGCAACAACAACATAACAACAAAAAAAAAAAAAATAGAGCCAGAAGGCCTCATCCGCCGGATAGCGCCGAACGGGCGCCAGGGGCTGGGCCCGCTGAACGGCCATCAGGGCCGTCACTGGAGCCGCATCCCCCTCGAGCGGGTATGCAGGTGGCCTGTCAGCGGGCAACAGGCCCACCGCCGTGGCCCGGTGACCGGGGGGTCTCTGTCGGCCTCACTCGGGAGGGGCCTGGGGGCACACACACAGGTCGGACGTCACCTCCGTCAACGAGACCCGGCCGGTCAGGCACGCCGGATACATCATCAGCCGGCCGTTCCGGAATTGGGGGTGGATCCCCCAGGGTAGATGGAACATAACGTTTGAGCCGGGACGGGTGCACTATCCACTGCCGGCGACCGAACCGAATCTGGACGCATTGCGGCTGGCGGACCTCCACAACCTCCACGGGGCCCTGCCAAGGGCGATGCAATTTGGCCGATGTGCCAACGGGGACCTGGGGACAATGCAGCCACGCTTTTTGACCCGCTACCCACGGGAGGCCAGCTGCCTGGTGTTTGGGCAGCCGCTCATTAGCCGCCTGTCGGCTTGCGGAATTCTCGGCAGCGGCCTGTCGCGCCTCGCGCAGCCGGTCAAGCGCGACCTTCAAAGGGGTCGGCACCGCCGACCCCTTCTTGGAGGAGCCAACGTCCATCTGGACGTGCACCAAATAAAAAGGCGAAAATCCCGTGGAGGCATGAGGGGCCAACCGATACGCGCCAAGACCCCCGGGACGAACAGGTCCCAGTCTGACTGGGACGTGTTCACCTGGTGGCACAGCATGGACATAAGGGTGCGGTTCAAGCGCTCTACCATCCCGTCTGACTGGGGGTGGTAGGTCGAGGTGCGGATTTTCTTGGTGCCAAGGAGGTCACACATCCTTGAGCAACCTAGACGAGAAATTCCACCCCTGGTCAGTCAACAATTGTTCCGGCGCGCCCTTGTCAAACACGTACCCCTGGACGAAGGCCTCGGTGATAGAAGAGGCCGACTGATCGACCAGAGGCCATGCCATGGGCCAACGTGTGAGGTCGGGTGCATGATGGTGCACCCGACCCTTTGAGGACAACCCCATGACGATGGGCCCTAGCCCTGCTAGATGCATGAGGTGAAGGGAGTGGCCGCGCAGATGATGCGTCGTGACTCGCCTGGGGCCCCGGACCCGATGCCAACGAGGGTCTGGGAGAAGGTGGAGTCCCTTTTTCAAAGGCCCCCGGGGCATTCCGGCAGCTCCGCTCAATGTGGCCCCGCTGACCACAGCGGAAGCAGGCCACCGTGTCCGCCTCCTGCGGACGGGAAGGTCCCGGCCGCCCCTGCTGCTCCGGACAGCGACCACCCGCCCCCCTTCCTCGACGATCGGGCATCGCCAGGGCCGCGAGGGTGTCCACCCCCTGAGAGGTGGCCCCCCCGTCCGGCGACGGGACCCCCGCACACGCCGCCATCTGAGGCCGTTGGCGGAGGGAGAGGTGCGCCTGAATGTTTTCGGCGACCACCAAGGATGTGATCTGCCGATCATTGTTGATCGACAGCAATTCCTAGCTCCCTTTCCAGGTCAAGCAGCTTCCCCAAGGCCATAGAATCAAGTGCCCTGCCGTACAGGTCAGGGTATACAGCCTGCGCCAGGGCCAGGAGCGAGCAGCAGAAGGCCAGCGGCAGTTCCCCCTCCTCCCGCCGCCGCAATGAGAACTTTAGCTGCGCGCAGGACGGCGGCTCAAAAACGTTGGCCATTTGGATATAGGCCGCCGGGAGTGTAGCCCGATTGGCCGGATGGATGGACTTGAAGGCCTGCAGAGCCCTTTCGTCCAAGCAGGTCGGAAGCGCCGGCAAGGCCTCCTCCATGGACCAGCCGACCGACATGTATGCCGCGTCGAACCAGTCCTGGAAGGCCGACCAGTCGCCCCCTTGCGCGACAAACGGCGCAACGTTGGGTAACCGGCGCTGCCATTGGCTGCGCGGCACCGCGTGGTGTGGAAGCCAAGCGGCACCTGCGGGCCACCTGGCGGATGCGACATGGTGCGGCGGTGGCAGCGTTGCGGCTCCCGCGGGCCACGCCGTAGGCGCAGCGAAGTGTGGCTGAGTTGCGGCCCCCATGGGCCACGCCGTAGGTGCAGCGAAGTGCAGCTGAGTTGCGGCCCCCATGGGCCACGCCGTAGACGCAGCGAAGTGCGACTGAGTTGCGGCCCCCATGGGCCATGCCGTAGATGCAGCGAGGTGTGAAGGCGCCTGCGCTTTCGCGACCCACCTGTCAGCGGCGGCGTACGAAGCCACGGCGTCGTCCCGCGACGCGGCAAGGGACCACGGCGTTGCAGCCTCAACGGGCCACGCCGAAGACGCGGCGGTATAATTCGGGCCTGCAGCGGCCCCCACGTTTGGATGTAGCAATGTGCTGCGTATATTTTTTTTACTGTCACTTTCTGTAAAGAAATGTGATATTTGAAGCGACTTTGCCTAATTCATTATTTAATTTAGCTCGACCTTCCTCTGCGTTAGTGTAAAAATCCATGTCATAAAATTATTCACATTTTTTTTAAAATACAGTGTTTCCTCAACAAACTGAAGTAAATAAGTTGCTGCATAATCGTGAACAGATGTAACTTTGTTGAGAAAAACCGTCAAAAGAATCATTCAAGCTCTTTGTGTTACTGTGACCTTGATAGATAGTATTTAACAGAGAATGAAAAAGAACGCTCACTCATGTTGGGTCTATTTTATGAAAGATCAAAGCGTGCACCTGTGATTGGCAATGTAACCTGCAGCCACGTTTGTGAGCTAAACATGCAACATTGTAAAAATCTATAGTTTCTTTCAGGTCGGTTTGTTTTCATATGGGTTTAGTGCTAATACTTACGTGATCCGAGGGTAGAAACACTCACGTGATCCAAGGTTACAGTGTCAGGGTGACGTCATGAGAAAAAGGAGAGAGAAGGGCAGGGCGAGAGACAGAGAAAATGCCCAGAGAGAGAGATTTGACGTCACCGGGAGAGGCGGGGTGATCGGGGTGCTTCTTGGAGGGAATCGGAGTAGGTGGTGATGCGGCGGCGTGAGCTTGCGAGAAATAAAAAAAGTGTGGCCCCTCTGACTTCATCTGGTGGACTCACTACAACTGATGGCAGCAGTGGGATCACAATGCCTCGACATGGTAACATAAAATACCCCAGCGAATAAGGGAAGGAACGTGCCTCTACTCCCAGCGTGGATGGCCGTGATCCGAGACAGCATGGTCTACAAACTTGGGTCAGAACAGCCCCCCAACCATGAGAAGACAGCGGAAAGCAACGGAGTGACATGTCCGAGACCCCTCGACCCCCCGCGCGAGGAGGAGCCCTGGGCGGGTCGGGTCGACCAACTTACAACACTCTACTCAATACTCCTGCAACAGCTGCGGGAGGACAGGGTGGCTGCTAGCCCGGCAGTGGGCAACACTCCCTTGGCGTCTGCAGCAGTTTCTCCTCTCGTCCAAGCGGGAAGCCCTACTACGGGGAAGTTGCAGGCAACAGCGACGGCCGTGGTGGTTCACCACTCAGGTCAGACCACTGGGATGACAATGTTCGGAGATGAAGGAGCCAGTGCCGCTGACCGGATGAGAGTGTGGCACCCCGACCGATGGGCCCCATCTTCACCGTGCCAGGGGGTCAATCGGAGGCTCCATGATCACCACTGATAGTGCTGAACCACAAAGAGACAGGGAAGAATTTCCTCAGGAGGGGGTAGAATCACTGTTAGTGGGGCCCGAAACCGCTAGTCGCCATCGGAGCAGAAATAGTCATGAAATCCCTACGCCCAGGCAGTAGTGGCTGCTCTGAGCTTTAGCGGCAGAGTGCTGGAGCCATGTGAGGAGGCGCTGTACAACGGTCAGATGTGCGCGGTAGCCGCAGCCAAGGCCGCCAAATTTATTCTACCCAGAGAATCAGAACCGCGACAAGGGAGAGGGCGCCGATCGACCACGCAGGTTAGGGCCATTTTGAAAAGTGTGTGACTAAAGGAGGACACTGGGGAGCATTTGTTCGCCGATTTGAGGCAGCATACACCTATTTAGAATGGAAGGAGCATGAGGCACTAAAGGCTTTCCCCATGGCCCTTAACGATGATGCTTTAATTAGTTACTCCACCATACTGGTGGAGAATAAAAACACCCTGCAAAAGCTTATCGAGAAATATCAGAGATTTTAACCTGCCATCCAGCGCCTAAAAGACGATTCCAGAACCGTCAGCGGGAAGAAAGAGAATCAGCTTTGGCCTACAGAAGTGTTCTT